TGTGGCATGCCGAATGGGAAGATACCATTATTGTGGTCATGACCAATATAAGCAAATGGGTGGTAAACTCTAATGTTACCAAGTACATTCGCATAAACATAATTGTGTTTTTCTCCTACACTAGTGTTGGGATGGAGAAGAACATATTTATTTCGGTGATTCTAAAACAACTCCTATCCTAGAAAAAAGAAAAGTTCTTCTAAGTTCATATTTGGGAAGACTTTGACCTTAAGAGATGAGCTACATGTGCCACCAACTATAGTTAATTTGATCTCTACAACATTGTTGAGAAAAATTAAGGTTAATTGTCATTTGAATTTGATAAATTTGTTATGACAAAAAATAATATATTTGTGGGAGGAGATATTATGATCAAGATCTTTTTGTGCTTAACATTAATGAAGTTATTAATGAATCTGAGTCTTCTAATTATATTGTTGATTTGTATAATGTGTGACATGCTAGTCTAGCTCATGAAAATTATTTGTATGTTATGAAATTGTAATTATTAAGATTAATTCATATGTACGATAAACAATATAAGAAATGTGATATATGTGTAAAATCTAAAATAATTAAGAAAACTTATCATTCAATAGAATGACAAATCAAACTTCTAGGATTAATTCTTCTTGACTTAAAGTAAATCATGACTAGAGGTGGTAAAAAAATATTTTGTAACTTTTATAGATGATTACTCTAGATTTAATTAAATAGAAAAATTAAAAGAATTAAATCATATAAAGGTGATAAATATGTCTTATTTAATGATTATTGTGTTAAAGAGAATATTATTTAGGAGTGTTAAAATAAACTTAGCTGGATGAGCTAGGTAAATTGAGTATGTACAATAAATATCCTAATAAGGAATATTATGATGCACTTGCAAGACTATGGAATATTTAAGAAGTTTAATGGATTTTGTCATTAAATATAATAGATTTCCCGTTGTACTAAAAGGATACTGTGATGCTAACTTATGAGACAAAATCTACTAGTGGTTATGTGTTTATACTTAAGGGTGGTGCAATTGCATGAAGATTAGTGAGACAAACAATTATTGTAAGATCAATAATGAAATTAGAGTTTGTTGCTTTTGAAATGATTGGTAATGAGGCTAAGTGGTTGAGAAACTTCTTAGCAAACATTCTACTAGGAATAAAACAAACCTCATTTGTATTAATGTATTATGATTACCAATCGATAATAGTTATAGCTAAAAAAAATCATAATGGAAAAAACAAATATATACAATTGAGACATAATTTAATAACGCAATTGCTAAAGAGTAGAACAATGTCCATTAATTATATGAAGTCATAATAAAATCTAACTGATCCTCTAATGAAACCCCTAAGGAGAAAAATGATTTTAAAAATATTGAGTGGAATGAGACTCAAACCACTTGCAAACACACAAGTGATAAAAATTCAACATTTGTGATTGAAAATCCCATGGATAAGATTCATATGGGTAAAAATAAGTCATTTGTTAGTTTTGTAGCATTGAAATTAATTTTAAATCAATTCTATCCATTTTTATGGTGTGTGAAAGTGCTAGATACAATATTATCGAGAGGGTAAACTTTGTAGTTAAAATTCTATGTGGTATAAGAATTTTAGCTTCTAACAAAGTTATAATGATATTCATATTTGTTATGGATGATGTATGATTTGCTACATATGTTCGATGAAATTACTTATATGAATGTCGACTGGACCCACTTGCATGAAATTGTGTTAAGATCTCTATAACTCTCATGAATACTGAACATGAACATGGTCCAGTATAAGTGTTGCACAATGATAGCATCAAAGAAATGTGGGGGTGTGTTGTGATTGATAAACCACTAACACACACTAAGTGTTTTTTTATTCATATAGTTTACTATAACAATTATATTGTGTTAAGTTTCTTAAAATAAAACTGGTTCATATAACTTACTACACTAATTCTGATGCATTATATCTTATATAAGACCTATAATTTTCTTCTTTCTATCTTTATATGATGTCTTTTGCTGTATTTAGGGGATCGTTGAAAAATCAAAGTATTGCATAAGAATCTTCTTCCGCCTTTCGTGTGCTCTTTCTATTTCGATGTACTCCTTCAATTTTAGGTGATTTCTTCAATTTTAGGTGATTTTTTCTCAAACGTTGATATGCAATCTTCCCATTTTGCTTGTTCCTTGATTTACAATAGATGTGCATTTACAAGTGATGGAAGAGTGAATTTTTTTTAGGTATTTCTCACTTATATATAGGTCACTCTTCCTCCTTCGAATATATACTTCACTCTTTCTCATATTCTTTTCTCTTCTATTAACTTTTCTTAGATTTTGAATTCTCTATTCTTTTAAAATTATTTTTATTTATTTATGAGTTCCTAAAAAATACATAAAAAATTCATGTTATATCTTAAAGAATTTGTATAATCATGGATGAGTTATAACGGGTATATACTCCTCAAAAATTAAATTTTATTTGTGTTTTAGTTGATTTTTACAATAAAAATTGCATAATGATACAATCTGGGCATGGGATGCAACTTTCATGCTCAAGCCTAGTTCCTAGAAAATCAAAGGAAATTGATATAAAAATAATATTTACAAGATTAAAGGTGCAACTGAAAAAATAGTGCTTTTTGCATGCCACAGAACACTGCCAATGTGTAGCGCAATGGTTTCGTGTATAAAACAAGTGAGACGTCCATTCTAACCAGACTATAATTAAAACTCACATTAAACAAAACAACATGTTGAATTTGTGTAATCATGAGAGGATAAAAACCAAAGCAAGCACACTTGTTTTGACGAGATATTTTGTCTGGTAGCAGAGTCAAGTGGGTATAGTCCATGGTACCCTTTTCATGTACAAGGACTTTTAAGTTCTGAACATAGTTCTAGAAGGGTGTTTTAGTAAATTAAAAATTTCGTATCTGTTGTATTCTTTGCCAACTACTGAAAGATATGCCAAAGTCACAAATTATAAATACCATAGATTAAAATAATTGTGATTAAATGATTATGTTAGTGGCACCGACAGATTTGGATGCATGAAGGGCACATTAGCCAGGGAAGGAAAAGGAAGCAAAAATAGGGCTTATATGGTCATAGTCTTAATACTTTTTCCCCAAAAGTGCCTCTCTCCTACCACACTGTTGAGGGATACACCAAACCAAACTCATTTAATAATGTCACCAAAATCATTGTTAATTATACAATAATGGATTCTTCTACCACGCCCCGCCGAATAATGATTATAGAAATTACGTTCCTAATTACATTTTCCATTTGTCTTCTTATGACCCTAAATCTTTAGTCAATTCATTTTTTATATGACTTTGTTAGGACAAGGCAACCGTGACATATATATGTATATATATACCCATTTTTCACACTCATTTTAATTCTTGATTGCATCGTATATATGCATACTATTATCATCAGCAATTCAGATTTAAGTTGTAAACCATTGCTAAACTATATCATTAATTACGAGTTTAACTTGAAATTTAAATGGAAATAAATGTAACCCATTGTGTGGTGTGGCATTATCATCCATACCATGATGTTGTAATTGATTAAGTAAATTTCAGATAATAGAGAAACTTGAGAACTGAATCCGTGCAAATTATTAATGATGAGGTTAACATTAATAGTATTTAATTAATAACCAATGAATTATTTCTCCATCAATCAAATATATTACCATTTTTCAGCCTTCACATCAAGGAGAAGATAAAAGTGAAGAAGAAGTAAAGAAAGCTCCGAGAGACAGACTCATAGCCCGCCGGTGGGGATGGGTCACCCTCCATAGATAGACCTGCCCTTAATGGTAAAAAGAAGGGTATGGATCCACTATTTTGTTTTCAAACGTTTTCACCAAATTGCTATTAAACTTTCCTTCTAACCCTATTAATCCAAATCCCCCAACAAAATTATCCTACCACTTATCTACTTTTTTTTTTTCTTGTTTTCTGTCATTTTCTATTTATCTGTAATAAAAATACGATGGACTCCCACATGTACAAGTTTTTTTTTTCCAAAAATTGTTTTGCATTCTTGATTAATTTCAAATGTCTTTTCTTTAGGGTTTTTGGTAGCTTTTGTATTCCTTGGTTTGTATGGTACGTACACATGAGTCTCTAGAGGACAGAAACAGCTCAGCTAATACCTGAGCATATGAGGGAAGTGGGCACCACCACCACTCTTATTTCACAAGTCCTGAAATCTTTTTCGTTTGCTTCAGTGCATATTTTCCATGGTATTGTTTAGTGCTATTAAACGCACACATTAATCATCACCATCAACTCATAAACAACTTATTCTCTGCGTGCTAATTGCTAAGTAGCAAATTCAATTAAACCCCACTTTTTTAACGCGTCAAGTCGAAGATCAACACTAATCAGAAAATGATAAATTTTACATTACGGACTTAATTACCATCAAGCAACTTTAAAAAAAACAACAAAAAGATTCATAGTACAACTCATGCAGAAGGTGAAAAAGTAAAGGCACGGGGAGAAGGAAAAACGAGACAGCCAAAACACTACATTAAAATAGTTATTGACAATAATGAAAGTGGTTTAATGTGTATGGTTTGTTTATCCAAGGTCCATTTATTCACGAGCCAGGTTGCAGTTGGGGTTAGTGGGCCCGCATCAATTCCACTTGTTTGTTTCTCACTTCCCTTTCCGGACCCAATCATAACCCGCCACGTAAGTCATCGATTTTCACAAAGCAACCGACACCCTTGATTTACCCACACGACCATTGACACTGATAAGGAATAACCGTTCACTTATTCACTCTCTTCTCCACCTCAACAACAACATCAAACACAATAAATCACACCATTTACCCCACCTATACCAGAACAAAAACCTGGTCTGCTCTCTTGCACAATATCACACACACACCGCAACAGAACATAAAACAATATTGTTAGTGTCTGTGTTCCTCTTTCTCTCTCTGTTGTGTCTGAACACCAAAAACCGCCATGGATTGCCGCATCTATGGCGTCACCATCCTTCTCTTCCTCCTCCCAAGCCTCACATTATCCCACTCACAGGGCCAAATAAACTCAAACTCAATCCTCGTCGCTCTGTTGGACTCGCATTACACTGAAGTCGCTGAGCTAGTGGAAAAAGCCATGCTCCTCCAAACGCTCGAAAACACGGTAATGAACCACAACATCACAATCTTCGCACCCAGAAACGAGGCCCTCGAACGCGATCTCGACCCTGATTTCAAGCGCTTCCTTCTCGAACCGCGTAACCTGCAATCCCTCCAAACCCTTCTCATGTCCCACATCGTCCCCAAAAGAATCACAAAACCCGAATACCAGCCCAGGTTAGTTAAATCGGGCCGTCCGACCCGATACAAAACCCTCGCCCCGCACCAACACCTCACTCTCCAAACAGTTAATTCCACTCACTGGAACGTCGACACTTCCTGGGTCACTCACCCGGATTCCATGACCCGACCCGATGGCGTCATCCACGGGATCGACACGCTCCTCATCCCTCGCTCCGTCCAAGACGACTTCAACCGCCGCCGCAACCTCATCTCCATTGCCGCCGTGAAACCAGAACCTGCCCCGGAGGTCGACCCGCGTACCCACCGCTTGAAAAAACCGGCTCCCCCGTCGCCGGCAGGCTCCCCGCCGGCACTACCGATCTACGATGCGATGGCGCCGGGACCCTCCCTGGCTCCAGCGCCGGCGCCTGGACCTGGTGGACCCCACCACCACTTCAACGGCGAGAAACAGGTGAAAGACTTCATCCAAACTCTCCTCCACTACGGAGGTTACAACGAAATGGCGGATATTCTGGTAAACTTAACGTCGCTGGCGACGGAAATAGGACAGTTAGTTTCGGAGGGTTACCGTTTGACGGTGCTGGCTCCTAACGACGAAGCTATGGCGAAGTTAACGACGGACCAGTTGAGTGAACCGGGTTCGCCCGAACATATTATGTACTATCACTTGATTCCCGAGTATCAGACCGAGGAGAGCATGTACAATGCCGTTAGAAGGTTCGGGAAGGTTCGTTACGACACATTACGGTTGCCGCATAAGGTGTCGGCGCAGGAGGCTGACGGCTCCGTTAAGTTCGGGCACGGGGACGGGTCTGCGTATTTGTTCGACCCGGATATTTACACGAATGGACGGATCTCCGTTCAGGGAATTGACGGCGTTCTTTTTCCGCCTCAGGAGGATGAAGCTGGGGCCGTGACCCGGGCCCAACTCGCTAAGGTCGTCGTTAAGCAGAGAAGAGGTGCGTGTTAATTGGTTGTTTAATGCTTTCTCTTTTCTTCACTTTTACCCTTTTTTTTTTTTTTTTTTCTGTTGGTGATGTTTGTTTGGGTGTTTTTTAAGTCAAGATGGGAAAAAGGTGAGGATGACGTTCGTTTAATATGGTTGGTAGAATTTTTTCTATCATTTGCGTTTACTATCTAATTTATGGCTATACTTGTTCTGGTTTTGGTCAATTTTGTTAATTATTGATTATGGATGAGTAAAAGATGTGTATGTATGACCACGAATAATTGCTATATCAATTGTTGTTTTTATAATCAAAGTTTAAATAGGATTAAATAATCTTCATATTATGAACTATTTTCATAACAAATTCTTATATCAAAAATAGATTGTATCTAAGCTCCTCCGAATAGGGTATTTAAGGAGTTTCTTGAATAGGGCGTTTGGAATATATGAGAATTTGTGCCAGGTGATGAGCTTGGGTGAAGTTGAAGGAGTGTATTGATATTTTGTTTAGGTAAAGGTTAGATTATTAGAAAATACTGAGAATATTATTGATGTGGAAAAAAGGTTTCTTAAGTGTTAAGAAAGTAGTCTTAAAACTTTAAAGAGTAGCAGTGGCACCACTCAACGTATCGAATTGCTTGTTAGATCAAGCTTCTGAAAGGTGAAAAGAAACTTTTGAGGAAAGGTTAGGGCCAGAGGGTTCTTATGGTGGTGATACCAATATTTTATTGTCCCACCTACGGTAACAGTTATCTTGCATTTAGAACTAACAATCATATTTGATGATCTATCATCTTCAAGTTATAACCTTTTCCTTCTTAAAGGCTTCGCCATTTCTCAAAAAATTGGTGAGTACTTTAGTAAGCTCCTACTTTGTGCATGCTTGCAAGGAGAATATGGGAACTAGATGATAAATCGAGACAGAAGAGGAAGGTGATGAATGACATTAAAAGACAATTATCCAATTAGAATGAATTTTATGTTGGTTTCAAAATTTGTGAGCGCAACCTTGGTAATCTCAAACTACAATAATGTAATATCGAAGTCCATAATTGATTTGTTTAATGATATTTTCTTTATTTTTGTGATATCTGTCGATTCCACACAGTTTGTGTTTAAGCTAAAGTTCGATGGAATGTGGCAGGAAAATTGTTGGAAACAGCATGTTGGATGCTTGGAACCTTTGGACAGAATTCTAGATTCATCTCTTGTGAATAAAGTGCTCATATCAGCAGCATGCTAGCAAGACTCGTTAAGAACGAAAATAGTGAGATTCTAACTTCATATCTCGTATTACCTGACAACTAGCTTTAGCTTATTAACTGGATCTTGTTAACTTAATTAAGGATTAATTAACAATAAAGAAAGAATGTATTCCTTGCATGTCAACTTTCATCTAGTTTGTATAATAATTGGATGTTCAAAGCCAACTTCCTATGACAGTATAGAAATCTGCTCAAGCAGTTATTCCCTCTCTGCCATGTGAGCTTGGAAGTCAAATGCTTAAAAAGTATAAGCTATAAAAAGTAAACTTCATCTCTTGTTACTCTTTCCATATCCATTTTAGTTAGGGGCTGATGTGGTTAGTTAATACATTGTGTAACTACATTATTTTCTATAAAGTTGACCTGCAACTTGATTGTTTTCCTTTAATTTAACGTTTTCTATTTACTTACACATGTGTTGATGCAGCTGCACAGGAAATTCCAAAGATGGAAAAAGTCAACGGAATATGAAGGCCAGGTTACTTGAAAATGGGTAATAGCAGCTTCTATGGGTTTGGTTTTTTCCCAACGTTTTTGTGATGCTCTTTGTCTTTCTCCTTCTCGATTTTCTCCTTGTGGATTTGGGTCTCAGACTAGAGAACAAAAACTTCTCAAGTCTAGTAAAACAATATATAGTGCATATTATTATAATATATATATATATATATATGCAATTTAGATTCAGTTCTTAGCAGTGCTGCTACAAATCGTTAGGAGGTTGTGTTTGGTGGGATGAGAAGGGTTTTATGTAATAAGATGGCAGGGAAATCTGTGCCCGATTCAGTAAGTAATTTTACGCAAGAAATGCAATGGAAATACAGTAATAATCAATAAAATGATTCTTTTCTGTAATGAAATTTTGTAAATTTCCTCTTCATCCCTTTGTATTGCCTATAATTACTACTCATCTGTTTGGAAAAATTATACTTTAGATAGAATCAAAAGAAAATATGTTTTGCTTTAGTTTACATATCTTGTGCAAGTGCATTTCCTTTTTCTGTGTCTCTCTTGCATAAAAACGGTTCACAATTATTCCTGTAATGTGAAGTTCTGTAAGTGGCTATGAGTAAAGCCTTTCTAATATCAAATTCTGGCTGAAAAGTATATTGGAAATGAGCACCATAATACTAGGAAATGCCTAGTCAGGACTAGTTCTTACGTCACGGCAATGGACATAAGTTATGATTCTTAATCACATTGCCAACAATCTGTAGAATTTTCTTAATTTTTTTGAGGGACTGGTAGAAAATGGTGCATCACTCCTAGAAGTGACCAATTGATCTTAACCTTCTGTTTTTTTCATTGTATTGAGAACATTTACAGAGTACATAAGCTAATTTTGTATTTTCACAAAACACCGGTGTTATTATGCAGTATACAAACTCTATGCTGCATTATATGTTATTGAAAGTATTATTAAACAAAATAATTAAGAAAGATTAGTATTTTCAAGGCTAGTTATACTAAAATTTAATAAATTAAATTACGAGTGATGTCAGGATAAACTATCATTCCATTTTGGAGACTCTGTTAATATTAATTTAATTCTCCAAAAATAACTTATGCCAATTTACTTACAAAAGAATTATTATATTTTGTTCTTTAATAGTAGAAATACTACACAGTTCACTGCCTCAATCATATATGATGAACACCATTTTAGTCCTGAATAATAATAATAGAACATTGCATCGACTTTCTTTTTTTCAATCTAGAAGTTTTTGAATAGAATGACTGAGTCACTTCACAATTAAGGGGCTAAATTAATGTATTCATCAATTTACATCACAATTTCTCCCAAATTTTTCTTATAATTTTTCCATAAAATTATAATGTTCAATCACCAAATCTCAACATCATACTATAAAGTCTGCTAGTAATGATTGCGATATAACAATTCAAATAAAAAAAATGTCCAAGAAGTTTTAAAGCATAAATTATTATCATGTCATTTTATAGCTGTTTTTTTTTAATATATTATGTTAAATTAAACAATAATAAATATGATTTACAATTATCATATTCTAAAGACGAAAATATTAGTACATTACCTCTTTCTTGTGAATCCTTAATTTATTTTCATAAATAATAATAATAATAATAATTATTATTATTATCTTTAGATTGCTCACTCGTTTGTAAAAGCGATTGATGTATTTTTGTTGAGTTGACAAGTCAGTATCCTAGCCTTTAAACTCGCAACAACCGTAGAAAGAGCCCACGCAGATTTGGATCCTTCTGAACTGTAATGGTTGGTGAGTGATCTGACAATACATTTATTTATGAAAATATAACAAATCAAATAATGATGAATATATAATAATTTACTCTATTTTCTTAACAATTTGCAGTTTTATATATTTTAATTGATAGTGTACCCTCAATTCAGAACATACGAATCTTGGGAAGGTGTAGAGGTTTAGTCAATAACCTTTTACTTTTGATATAATTTTTTTAATGAAAATACAATAGAAAAGTTAAATTTATAAATAGAATTAAATCATGTTATCCAACTTATATTTCTTCATATCAGTTGGTTATTTTTTCTTCATATTCAATACTATCGCAAAAAATTCATGTTTCGTACAATTAAACACGTCCTAAGGGGGGAAATTGAACATCTTAATTTACAATGAATTCATTCAACTTTCTCCGTTTTGAGTACTTAACACCGCTCATCCAGGTAAAAAATCATGTCTTTGCAGAAGAATATCAGGGAAAAAAAATATTAACAGCTAAATCCAGCAATGCTTCATAAAATAGCACGCAAAGTTCTAACTTCTAACGTAGACAGACATCACCTACATTCAAAAAAACAGGTCCACCACAAGTAATCAATCCATGTCCTCCTTGGAAAATTTACTAAAAGTCAACCCTAGAGAGTTATGAAGGCTGAACATCAATTACATGAAGAGCAGGGTTCTATACAAATCCTCCAAGTGGCTCGAGATAACCGCAAGTTGTTTAACATTTCACCTCTTTCTTTTTGGAGCCGTCTTTGGAGCTTGAGCAACCTTCTTCCCAGATGTTGAAGCACCTTTACCTCTACCACCCGATGCCTTCTTGGAGCTTGAATTTCCCGTTCCCTTCAGTTCCAACTGTACTTCCGTGGCTACATGAATCAGTATATATAGATCAGAAATCATAAATCACCTAAGTGTCCAATCAATCAACCTCCAATGGCACATAATGAGCACCTACCTTTTGAATTCCAGCTTTGAAGTTCTGATTGCAGTTTCTCGCCCTTGGCGGTGCCTTCTAATGAATGCATCACCAGACAAAAATTGTAAAAGCAATCACTTAATATAGAGAATAATAATAATAATAATAATAACCACATAACTTACCCAACTCTTCTGTATCAGAGGTGTTCTCTTTTTCACTTTCGTCCAAGGTTTCACCTTCCCCTTTTTCCACTCCTTCCTCAGCCGGTTCAAGAATAGCAGCAATCCGCTTCTTAGGGGCCTTCTTTACTCCAGGAAGAGTAATTAGATCTGCAACTCGAACCACCCGAGATGTGCTTTGCTCTTTGTATGCTTTTGTCAAAGCTGACTTAACGGCAGGCTGAATGCCATCTAGTGGATTAGGATGACCCTGATTTATACAAAATCAAAACATTAACCAAAGGTGGAAAGTAGTTTGTAGTAAACAAAACATCAAATACAGTCAAGGAACCTTGAATTTTGATAACTCTACTATAGTATCAAAATCTTCTTGACTGATAGAGTATGTATTCATGAATTCCACAACTTGTTGAACTGCTTCAGCCTGATAATTTTTCCAAAAGGGCAATTCAATTATGTTCAGCATTTTAGCTTAAAACATAGGTCTGTTTAGAATTAAAGCAACGCATGTACTTCCAACCTTGGGCAGGCTGCGCAAGGGTTCAGTCAAATGTTTAAGAATAAGAGTAAGGTATTCCATGCGAATGGCATCCCTGCATACATTAAGTGAAGCATGATCATAAAGAGTGTTCTACACATTTTAATGGAGATCAAGGCTTTTTCCAAAATTCTACTGGAAATGTAGCTTCCAAAACCTAATAGATAAGCACACATATACAAGGTAGTTGAATCGGGATCCAAAGTATGATGCCGAAAGCCTATTTTTTGCATAATGAATAGTAAGATTAATGATCAACAATAAAACATGATACATATGTATGAGGAGGGACTCCTTTACTCCAAGAATAAGAGTTGAAGACTTATTTTTCGTCCTCAGTCATTTATTTTTTGTAATCTAATAGTCTAAAATAAAAATTTATATGATGGAAATGAAGAATAAGCATCAAATTCCTATAATAAGTATATCCCTTCTCTCTCTCTCTCTCTCTCTCTCTCTCTCTTTATATATATATATATATACACACACACACACACATAATTTTATGTGTAGACTATCTTCCCAAGAAAAAGATTCCAAACTATTTGTTAGGCTTTTTAAGTTTTAGGTAGTTGCAGCCCAATTAACAATTTATCATAAGCAAAATAAAACAGAACAAACTTAGGAGGAGTTTCAAAAACTCACGTGGCACATCTTCATGTGAGTTAAAAAAAAAAAAAAAAAAAAAACAACGTACACAGTGACGGATCTTCTTGGGAGCTGAGGAGGGCCGTGGCCCCCAAAGTTTTATAACTCCCATGTAATTTATGATTTTGGCCCCCCAAACATAATGAGCATTTAATATATTTACTTGTATATTTACAATTTTATCCTCTCAGCCCTTCCTCAGTTTTGTAACTCTCATATAATTTATAATTTTGTTTCCCTCAAACTTAATGATCATTTAATATATTTGAGTATATATCTACAATTTTATTTTTTCATCCTTTCATATTTTTTCTTCCTTTTATATTTATTTATTATTTATTAATAATATATTATTTAAGCCTCCCAAGATCAATGGTCAAGATCCACCACTGAATGTACAGTTTGAAGGCAGCAAAGACCCATACCCGAAGCCCACACCTGAACCCTAAGCACTGCCTTCTATCCCTCACCTACTAGCTCAACGTTTACAACTCACAGAACACCCTTAAAGAGGATGCAAGCCTAGGCCACAGTTCTAACCTGCAATGCATATGGGGAGCTGCAATTGCCTTGTTACAGACTTTACAATGTTGTGGAAGACTCTACAACATTTTCGTGGCGTCACGCTTGCGCTTCCAATGAAATTCGTAATGCATGTTAGCACCACAGTACCAGAATAGTGGAATTCACTTGGAGATAGAGATTCATGCAATACTTGAGCAATTTGTGTGATACGGTGAATGATTCAGTCACAAAAGCATATTCATTATGATTCACATCCTTGGGCTTTTGAATCGTGTCAAATTGGTAGTATCTATAGCATATCCTACGATACTAACTACCACCTCGCATGCAACTAGATTCCATTTTATATCCCAGATTTGTAGTATATAAAACGGAAGCACCTATGATTGACATTATATTCAAAAATAAAAAATACATTGACAGACAAATTCACAGGGTTTGAGCTGCACTTTATTTCTCTCCAAAATCACCAACGTTTACAAATTTACAGATATTTACAGAAGCATTCAGCAGCATGTAACCAGATGAAATAAACTCTAACAATAAGATGCATGAGAGAAGATACACTCTGAAGGTCAAATATTGAATTCATATTTACCTTCCTGAACTAGATTCCCGAGAAGCAAGAATGTGAACATGAAGATCATCCAAAAGCCTGAAGTTTTTGCCCATTGTTGAGTTCTTCCCAAGCCACCCACCAAACCGGTTAAAATTTCGTTCTCCCTGCAGATATAATACAAGTTGAAATACAAAACTAGAAGCAAAATCAGATGAGTTAAATGAAAATACCAGTATAGGGATGTCCAAAAAAGGGGTCAACCCATTAAGCCTATCTAAATGGGTTGGGTGGCATGACTGAACCCATCAACTTGGAAAAACAGAAAATGCAACTCATAATCCAGAGAGCCAACAACATATTGGGATGTGACTTCCCAAGATGAATTTTTGTTTTTGTAATTCTAAAATTGAGGTCTTTGGATTGTTATTTTATCTTCACTGATTCATGTGTTTGCTTTCGATTGATGTATAATAGTGCTTTTTTTTCTAAATCTTTAATTAATTAGTGGATTAACTCATGTGTTATCTTTTTCAACTTTTATTATTTTAAAATTTCTAAAAATGTTGTTAACCAAACTTACAAATTTCCAACCCAATAAAGTTGGGTGTAGTAGGAGTGTCAAAATAGGTCAGGATAGACAAAAAAAACTTGTAACTTAAATTAAATTAGACTTATTTTGACCCGGCCCGTTTAGGCCATGACTTACATAAGCTTAAATCAGGCTAGCTTAAATGCTCATAGGCCAACTTGTTTTGAAGAATAATAATTATTTTTGAAACAAAATATAAAAGTGATATTATTGTATTAATATATATATATATATATATATATATATATATATTAGAATGAGTTTCTAACAACCACTTATTCCAAGATCTAATAATTAAGATTAATTACTATTTTAGATCAATAAATTACTAAAAAATGAATGAGGATAATGAAAAGTAAATTTTTTCTTTATAATTTATATATTAAATCACTAAATAAAAAAACTAATTTCATTAATATAATTTAAATTTAAAAAATGCATTTCTTATTTTTATTTAAATATTTTTTTAATTTTCAATCAGAACAAAATTGACTCATTAACATGTTGGTGTAACATAAGACCAAACTAAATTAAAAATTATGACTCATTTTAAAATATAGACCTAGACTATCAATTTTTTTATTTGGTCAGTAGGATTAGAGCAAGCTGCGCTTTCCGTTTTGATAGCCCTAATTGGGTGGACACATTTTTACACCCCTAACAATAACTACAGTTTATGACGAAATGATCCATGGCTCTTCTTAAATAACTTTTAGGTGAAGATATTTCGAAGGGCCAGCAGTTTTATATTTGAATATCTAAATTCGCCCCCCTACCTGTAAACTGCAGTTTCTGACGTAAAATCTTCCCTTATTGCACTTAAATGTTTTTTAGGTGAAGATGTTCCAGAATGGTCAACAGTTTTACATCTCTAAAGTATCTAAATCGGGGAATGCAATGAATCTATGTCAAGAGTCAAGCCTATATGAGATTAATATAAGGGCATATAATACATGTAAATTTAAGAATCACGTATGCAACACATTTACGAGTCTTGGACAGTGGTGCAGTGACCAACTCTGAAAATACTACAATAGGGCAATGGCCACCACCATTGTGATATTTCTTTCATACAAATCATATAATTTATTTATATCATTTACATATAAATGCCCAACAAGAGAAAAAAGTAAAGGTTGTAAGGACCACTAAAGAAAAATTCTAATCTGATTCAAAACTGCAGAAAAGAATGAAGGTTGGGTGTCGCTAGAGCTGGGTGGCTCTACCACTCTGGTTGCATAGAAGTAGTAAAAGGGGAAGAGAGTTAAGAGGTCAACAACAGAAAGAAAATAAACTTTGGAGATGGGGGACTCTGCTGCTCCAGTTTGCTAAGGTGGGGGTAAGAAGTTGCCCTCTACCATTTTCAATGATTTTGAGGGCAAAGACGAGATTTTATATTTCCTCCCTGTAGCAAACCTAATGGGCCAAAAATTAAAAAACAGCTGAGACACATGAATGATAACCATGTTCTCTCCCTGAGCCCAAAATAAAGAGGGGGCAGAATGGAATAGACATATAGCTACAGCCAGCACAGTAAATTTTTACCTGTTCAAGTATTTCCCTTTGCCCATGCAACAATGATGCACTGAAACAAAGAAATATGAAAGAGTGATTGGATGGAACACCACCTAGATTAAGCAAAATAGAAAACCAAAATGTTATTTTCCAGAGCAGTGACAAGGCTACATACGGAATTATGCATGTTGCAGTAGAACTAGTTTGAGAGAGCTGCCACTGTCGATATCTGCGAATCTGTACATTCACTATATCCCCATCAGCAATAGACTCAGCAGCACGGGCAATCAGATTCATGCGTTTTATGCCATTGTCATCCTTACCAGCCAAGCTTGGTTTATAATTAATATAATTTTCCTGCGATACATAATACCGTAAAGAAGAGTTATATAAGGAAGTTTGCAGCATTCAAGAATAAGATTGTGCAAGGATCCATTTATCCTAGGGCAGGTTTTGGCTATATTTTCAAGATAGTTGATTCTATCATATAATTGATATATCAAACGATATTGATATCACTACCATATCAATTTTAACCAAATTAATTTTAATCATCCATTCTGTAATATTTGTTAACCAAATGCGGTTAATACGAATGTATCTATAACTGAATAGATACATGCAAAATCAAATTTGATTAATCCAAGTTGAATGAGGTTAATGTAGGAAGTGGTATCCAAGCCCTTACTCACCAATTTCATCAGGCTGTTGGCCTTCAAAGATAATAAATGCAAAACAAGCTAAATTTTGAAAAATGAAACGGAAATGATCTACAGAACCTGGATAAGAAGAGGAACAAGATCAGGATCACTCATGCTAAGATTTATCCTCTCATCCATTTTCAACTTCCCAGCATTAAAACCAAAAAGCCTACATGAAAAGAGATGTCATTATGAAATTGAATTTGGCCACAACCTTCTGAACTGTTAATCCTACAGAAATTTAAAAGGATGAAATCATAGCTATGCAGAGCCCAATCAAATCACTGATGAAATGCCAACAAATTCACAGAACTACAACTTATAAAGTTTAAATCTTATAATGACATCACGTTCCCATTGTCCGGAGCAGACTAATGAAAAACAACATAATAAACAGCAGTTGCAAGTCAACACTTGAAATGAAAGTTGGGATACTCAAACTGGCTAATTGAAATTTGAAAATTTAATAATTGTTGATAATGACGTTAACTGGAAACCCACATTTGAAAAAGAATGATTTGTATAGAATAAAATCCACTTGTTTTCCAGAGACCTTATCAACCCAGTTCTCATTCTAAACAGATTTTTTCTTAACCCCACAGAACCAATTGACAAGTTCATACTGCCTCCACTTCAGTTCCGTATTTCTTTTGTATGGTCATGCAAGAAATTTCTCAGAAAATCTAGCTACGAATTTGTAGATATTTGATTCCAAGCCTATTTCAGAATGAATAAAATATTGTTTTAGTCCATTAGAGAAGCTCATTAGAATTGCAATGCCATGAGTGAAGGCATACGACAGTCAATTATGACCACATTATCAGTTTTACTTCTAAATATCAGTAATCTGATAACAATAAACAGATCACTGAGAGTCCAATGACAATAAATGAATAGAAGTTTAATAAATCCAACAGTTGGAAAAAGGAAGAAAAACTGAATGGCAAGTAAGCAACCACAAATATCAAGGATAAAGATACAGCTCGCAGCAATGTAACACAAATAAACAATTAGAAATTACCAACAGTATATGACAAGTTGAAAGTGTAGTACAGAGATAATATAAATATTATACTTGTCAACAGCTGTGAATGGCGAAATGTCTTCATCCTTTGAATTGGTAAGAAAGCGTTGTCTAATGTCATCATAGTTGATAACTGACATAGAGAGGCTCATATACTGTAACTGGTTTACTGCCATTCGCATATCTCCATTAACTCTTTCTGCTAGTTCCTCAAGTGCAATCTGAGACAATCATGGTGAACAATTCAAGAAAATAGGTTAGTCAATATGAAGAAAATATTTATAATTTGTAAGAGATGGATATAATCGATACAATGTAATTTTTTACCCTAAGTCCTCATAATTAATTAAAACTAAAAATCTGCACAAAATAAGATGGAACTTCATAAGTTAAAAAGAAATCACCTCATTAACTTGAATCCCTTCAGCCTTTGCAACATCCATCAACCTCTTTGCCATCTGGCATGAATAAAATATTAAGTTCAAAACTCTCAATTCTCATACTGTTTTAACATGCAAAGGAAATTAATAAACTTCAGAAACTAAAGCTACATGTTGCCAAATAGACCTGCATTCTAGGGTGTGCAGACTACATATAAAAATTAAGTCAATCAGGTCCTCATATACGATGGATCACATATCACTGAATAGTAACAAAAATGACTGTCATGATCAAGAGATAACTTGGTATTCAGATTATCCACCCCATTTGTGTCTTAGAGGGGCAGGAAATAAAACAGTATAACTAGCAACATATCATTATTTGCCAAAATTTAAGAACCAATAATCATCACTTCCCTCCCCAAAATAAGTAAATGATTTCCACAGTTGAAGCAAAATATGTGAAACTTAATAGAACTTTATTTTGCTGGAGGCACTACATTCACTATACCATTCATTTATCACTCAATAAGGAATGCAAATTTTTTAGTGATAAACACAGAAAGACCTGTTGCTTTGTAGGCTTCCGAAAACTTAGAAGCAAACAGTAGTTCACAAGGCTTTTCAGTTTCTGGCTGTAACGGTCATTGCAAATGCAGATAATAGGAATTTTTGATATCTTGATGCTAGCAATAAGATCAGCAACACCACCCCTATCTCCAGCTGACATCCCATCAACCTCGTCCATAATGAGCACAGATTTCTTGGACCTGAAATTTACAATCAAATTTAACAAAGTGCATTATGGATTCATAAATTACTTATTATGATGAGAGATCAACCGTTCCATATTAACACCAAGACACTTATTGGTTACAAGTTCCTTAACAGAATTGGTCTTGCTTCCACTAATTCCTTTTTCAACTTTGCTATCAGCTTTTCCACGGCTATCACTAGCATTTACCTTCAATGCATGTATGGACACAGGTGAGAGAAATTATTACATGGTAAAATACCTTTTCCAAATATATAAATTAACCAAGAAATATTGCCACCTCTATGGCTTGGAAACCAAGCTCCTGACAGACCAACAGTGCTGAAGTTGTTTTACCTATACCAGGGGTTCCACTTAACAAGACAGCTTTTTTCAAACCAGAGTCATTTTGCTTTTTTCCCTGTTTTTTGTTACCAGTGTCCAAAAATTGCTCATGCCAAGCTTTCAACCAATTGCGAAGTTGGACAATCTGTACACCATTCATTTAAGAAAGTAAAAACTGATTATTCAAATTCAGTTATATATAAGAACAAATCATAACCATTAAAAAATGATAATGAAGACTAGTGATATACAAGTGACTGATTCCCTATTATATCCTTTTGATCTTTAGGGCGATATTTCTCTGTCCACATCACAGAAGACTGAACAGTAGTAGCATTCTTTTGCTTGGCTTGTTTAGAAGGTGACTGTGAAGACAGAGGGACTGCATTTGTTGATAAGGGAATGCAATTTAGAGCATAAACGAACAAATAGCTTTTGATTGTAATAAATTAAAAGCTGCTGCTAATTCATTGAATTTCAAAAAAGAGGGATGATTAAAAGAACAACCAATCAATGCAGAAAATAGAACCAGCATGTATAAACTCATTACAGCTTACCCTTAACTTGTGATTTCGCAGAAACTTTTGACTGGGATGCTACTGCAGCAGCCTTATTCATAGGTTTCTTGTCTGCTTGTGGAGGAGTTTTTGCAGATTTTGATGCCCGAATCATATCAAACAATCCATCCTCTGTGAGGAAGGAAGTTCTATATAGAAAAAGAAATATGAAACATAAGTTGTAGGACAATGTAGACAGAAACTTTTTAAATGCCTTGTAATAAATATAACAATGCTAACCCTAGCTCTTTGGCTTTTTCAGACTTCCGTCCCCCAATATCTTCATCACATAACAGATGATTCTGCATATAAAGGATGTTAATGACATACTAATTATATAAATGCAATCAAACTAGAACAAAAAGCCTCATCAAACCGTTTTCTTGCTGACTGATCCAGTGACACGGCCACCATGGCGTTTAATCAAATCTTCAGCTTCTTCTCGTTCCAAACTGTAAATATGCAAAAGAAAAAAATATATATAAGGACTAAACTAGAGAAATGATATATATGCCTAAACATTCAAAAATGGAAAGAGAACCAAAACAGTAACAAAATTAAAGGGGTAAGGGGGCTTAAAAGACGAGGAATGTATACAACATAAACCAAGTTCTGAATCAACCATGGCAAGAAAAATATGTGAAAGCTATAAAAAATATTGAATTCAATTACCTGTCCAGTGTTCCACTGATCACAAAAGTCAAGCCAGCTAAACAGTCAGGAGCACCTTCAGGGACTTCCTGCCACACAAAAGAAGTCTCAATGCATTGGGAAAAAAAAAAAATCATTAGATCCAAATGCCAGATAATTTTGAACCTTTTCTCCTTTGTGTGGAGGATCTTTTCTTTCTCCAAAATTCATGAATCCACCCCTACCACCCCCTCTACCTCTCCCACCAGTTGATCGCCCAGTTGCTCCTCTTCCACCACCACCCCTTCCAGCAGATTTAACAGCAGACACAGCATCTTTGTTATCATCTTCATCACTTTCTTCCAATACTGCAGATTTTTGGGGAATCCCCCTACCTGATCCACTCTTCAATTTTTTTGTTGGAGTGGTCTCAGATAACTTCTTTTTATTAGCGGGCAATACAGAGTCATCGCCATGAATTTTCTTAGGCTCTGGTATATCTTCACTGTCCTTCACACTCTTTCTTTTAGCAGGTAGCTCCTGCGTTTCTTTCTCATCTTCCACCTTTTGCTTGTCTGTGTTAAAATATTTGCTAGTTACCCTCCTCCCTGAACTTTCTTGACCTCCAGCCACCTGCAAGAAGTGTAAAATCACATTTTTCCCTTTTCCGCTCAACAATTTTCATACATTCAAATACCCTACTTTCCCAAGCGATAGCAATTAATTCCTTGAATTGCCAAGCACTCGATGAAATCTACCAAGGGAACCATGTAACCAGAACTAACTGATTATGACTAGGCCAAATTATTAAAAAATTTCAAAATATTCAGCTGAAAAACAAAGCCCACGCCAAAAAAATAAGCAACGACATAAAAAGTTTGCTTTTATCCTACTTGTACAAGTAAACAAACCCTCCATCAAAAAGTATCCCAAAACGATATTTTGGTTCTGACGGCAACGTAAGAACCAAATTCTCGCAATTCTTCAAACTCCATTATTTTTCCATGCATGCAACCATTTCCAATAAACCATTAGAAACAGAAACTAAACCTACACTATAACATAAAAATGGAAAAAAAAATCACAAAAAATAAAATTCAAGCAGCAGCACACTCACGTTTTTCTCGGACTGGGGTTTATCCGAAGAAGGCTTGGGTTCATTAGAAGGCTTGGAGGGGGCTGCATTGTTGACCTTGTCATGTGATTTCATGAACCACTTCCTTATATCACTCTGCAATTCGAAAGAGAGAGCAAAAAAGAAGGTAACGAAATTCAACGTGCGGAGAAAGATAATCGAAACGCGAAGTAACGGTTTTTAAAAGTCGATGAGCAGCAGAGAAGGAGAGAAAAAAAGAAGAACCCTAACTTACCATCTGTGCGTCGAGGCGGGAGAACAGAAGTTTTGCAACACCTGAATCAGAGTCTTCTGTTTTGTGACCTCACTGGAACAAAGCAATATTATTATTATTATTATTTTCTTTTTAAAAAACTTCAGCTCGTTTTGAAATGAACATTGGGAAACCATATATGTATCAACAAAATCTTGCCATAGATATCAAGTAAAAATATTAGAAATTTAATAATTAACTTTTCTTAGTTGTTACCCTAAAAAAAAAAATCATCATAGTACTAACCAATAAGTATATATGGTTTAATTTATTTAAGAAAATATATATGCTTTTTTTTCTTAAAACTTAAATATTTGTTCAAACATGTTTTATGACCAACAATACTATTATTCATATTATATATAAATATTTTTTTCTTTCAATGCAGGATTTTAAAATTAAAATGTATTTAAAATTTTTGAAACTGTGATAATTTGGAAAAAAAATTCTTTACGTTTAATACATAAACAATATTATCTATTTATTTCTATTGAAATTCTTCTTTTACTGTCCCATTAGATTAAGACGAGGAGCGTTAATTTGGTAAAAAAGATAAAAAATCAATATATTATAAAACAAACAAAAATAAACTATTTTTTCAATGAGATATGAAGAAAATAAATAATAATCATAATATGTTTTAATTTTTTTAAATTATTATTTTTAATTAGTATAATAATAAATAATTAAATAAAAATATTAAAATTATAAATAAATTTATTTTATATTAATAAAATAATATTTTAATCAGTTAAATAAATTTTATCTTTTAAAATCTGTTTATTTTTATTTTTTTCTTTTTTTTTAATCCAAATAATCTCATTTTCTTTTTACTCGTTCCAAATATAACCTTACAAACTAAAAGATAATAATATTTATATTTTTTAATAACCAAAAACAAAAGTAATTGAAAGATATATATATATATATATATTTTTTTTTTTTAAATCATACTTTCAAATAAAATTTATTTAAACTATTTAAAAATGTAAACTTTATCTTAATAATAAATTTGTATACTACTTTTATTAATATTTTTTTATGTCGCAAAAACATTTAATTTTGAAAATAAAACTGCTCCCTGTTTAAATGAACGAGGATGTTTTTCCTCAACATATTTTTTGTTTTCGTTTTTATTTTGTTTCCTCTTTTTAAAGTTTGTACAAAGAAATTATATTTCATAAAACTATTTTAGTTTCAATTTTTCACATGTTAAAAAATTGTTGCTTTTATTATGTCTGTCCCTTCAATTTCCACCTATACAATCATTACACAAAACCATTCACTTTCATGGTGAGATGAAGTATTTTATCCTGTAATGGGATTTTCTTTTGACTCACAGCTACTGGAAAATAAATTGTTTATCTCAAATCAAACCTTAATGTTTTGGTAGAACAAGTTACTAAAGTAATTAGGATAATGATTTGATTCTTATACATAGAAAACTGGTTCAAGTGCCAAGTCAACATAGAAAAGATCTTTGGGGGAGAATCTAAAGAGCTTCAGTTCAAGTTGTAGACTGCAATAAAAGGCATGAGAACGCTTCCCATCCATAGTTTACCATCCTTCTCCTCCACTTCACTCACCGCTCTAACAATTTTCCCCTCACTGTCCTCCAATATCTGCAAAATTCTACCTTCAGGGCTGTACTTAACAACTACTGCATGTGGGTGACCTCCGATTTGAAGCTGGAAGAAAATCTTTACGGGTATAGGAAGCTTGAGTATCATTGTCCTTATCTTTGGGTAGATACCACTATAGTATGCATACCAAGACCTTCTACAATGAAGAGCTACCCAAAAATCACCATTATTATTGACTCTCACATTGTCAGGATATCCAGGAAGAATGGCTAAAATTTCTGAAGTCCCAGCTTTTTCTCCTTTCAGCCAGTATTTACGTAACCTACATAACAAGAAATGATATGAGAGAGTGACTCTTGGATTAACTTGAATTCAGATATAGAAGTCATTGCTATCAGCTAACAGCAACAATCAATCAACTGGATTTGCATCATTTTCAACCTAGAGAGATCCAATAGTCAAATGGTAACCTTTCTGATGCCGAATTGAGTATAAAGCATGCTCATATAAAGGGAAATAGAGAAGATGTGGTCCCCCCACGCAAGAGAAATCTTTTGAAATGTATCATTAAAAGTGTGTAGCATTTCAATTTTACATTTAGATATGGTCATTTGGAAAACATATTCAATGGTACAACAACAAAAGTTTTATCCTAGGTTGACTATATGAATCACAGCACCATTCAGCTAAGTTAAAGACCAAATATTCAAGTATATTATTTATCACAGTATCCCTTTGAAAACATGAAAAAGAAAAAGCAGGAAAATTTTCTTGCTAGAAGAGTATATAAGAAATTCTCCACAAAAGATTAGCATATTAAAAATGCTGAAAGATGTCTATTAGATTCACCTGCCAATGCTCCCTTCACAAAAGACAAAGAAGGAACCATCCTTGCTTAATGTAATGCCATTTGGGAATTGAATGTTGCTAAGAAGAACAGTGGTTTCCTTAGTGGCTAGGTTGTATTTCAAAACCCTGCCACTATCATCCCCTGAAAATACCACTTGAACGAAATTCCTGTACAAAAATTATGTCAGAATCAACAGAACAAAACAGATGAAACAATACAATATAAGCATTTAAATTCCGAGCCCAAGATCTTTAAGGCAATGACTTTTCATAGACCTAACAACGGAGGAACTACATCAAAAGCCTCTCAATAGGCTTACCTCCCTCACAACTAAAGAATCCCATGCAAACAAAATGCTTGTTTGAGCAAAGAGGCCTCATATTGAAGACCTCTCAATGAACTTACACATGCAAGTTTAGTTATATGTTTAGGTTATGATGATCCCCTACACTTCCCACAAATTTACCAACGTGTTTCTTTTCTTTTTCTTCACACTCTTTTGCTCTATCAATCAATAAGAAAATGTTATTAAATCTCAATTATTATTGTTACTTGCTTATCCATCCAGTTTTGAGCTTTGAAACATCTTCTGAAATTCAAACGGATTGTGTTAATAAAAACATTACCCTTACATTTTAAACAATAACATGCCATTTGTTAAAACTAAGTGTGTTTTGGAAAGAATTATAACCAAATGATGCATTTTTAGTCATTGGATTTAATTCAGCTATCCACCACTAATGTGTATAACACTCCCCAATAATATCATGCTGTCACCTCACCTCCATTAACCAAAAGTAATGCAACTCTCTTCACTGCTACAGTGCGATGTGTGACAACATAAGAGTTCAATATTCCTAATTATGGCACCAGTTTTCACTTTTCAGCAGCATTACATTATAATTATGTTACTTATATCCAAAATGATGACAAATTGAAAAGTTCCAATTATGATACATATTTGAATGTGTTAGGGTCATTATTTATTAAGCCAAATAATAAAGTGATCTGAATAAATTAAAGTTTTGGCTAAAGGCATATGTCATGAAAATAATATTGTGTAGAGACCATAAAGTAATTTCTAATTTGATGAGGGGCCAAATTGGAAATACTAAAACTTAAGTAATTAACCTAATTTTGGTTATATAAAGGGTCATGGTCCCCTTCTGAGAGCACACAGAAAAATACATTTACAGTCCCGTTCTTTTCTTTCTATCCCCATCAAGAGAGAAAATCAATAGGGAAATACAGGTGCTCTTCAGGTGGAAGACCATAAGATCAAATCAAAGGTGCTCTACAAAGAATATCATCATTATGGATAATTCAGGTACGCTTTCGCATTTAGTTCATAACATGTTTACTGTATGGGATTATATATGTATGTTTGATCATAAGGAAGAAGATCATATTCAATTACAGTTTAAACTAACAATTGGTATCAGAGCCACCCATACATTATTCATGTTTGTGTTAGAAAATATTTAAGAATTGAGATTAATTTACAGAATCCTTAATCCCTAATTAAAAACCCCAAAAATTGAGAATCTTAGGGTTTCTTAAAATCCGATTCTCTGTTCCGTGTGTGACATTATCTGGAGACGGCACAGCTGTTGGCTAATTCAGATAGAGAGAGATTGAGAGTAGTAAAATGTGTTTCCCTCTACTTTCCAATCTGTCAGCTAATTCAGATAGAGAGAGATTGAGAGTAGTAAAATGTGTTTCCCTCCACTTTCCAATCTGTCAGAGTCCCACAGCGCACAAATAAAATTCCGATAGCCAAAGAAAAGTAAAGAATAATAAGCTGTGCACAGAGAAGACACCACGATTCGTGATGCGGAACGCAGAGTGAGAGAGGGTTTTGATTTTTCAAGAATCGCCTTCGGATTCGGAGACGGAGTTATTGACTCCCAATTCTTCCAAACTCTTATCCATTACCCCCGGTTCTAGGGTTTTGAAAGGTCCTCTCACTGATAATTCAGATCTGGAAGCGCCTTCGTGACGCCGGCTTCGACGAGGAATCGATTAAGCACAAGGACAATACACTGTTGTTCATTTCATGGGAACCTCCACATTTAGTCAATACACTGTTGTTCATGATGTTAGTGTAGCGAAAATTAACCCCAAAGCTCCTTTGGAGAAAGTTTGTCTTCTTGGATGCGGTGTTCCAACTGGGCTTGGAGCTGTCTGGAACACTGCAAAGGTGGAACCGAGGTCAATTGTTGCTATTTTTGGCCTTGGAACTGTTGGGCTTGCTGCAGCAGAGGGTGCAAAAGCTGCTGGTGCATCACGTATTATTGGCATAGATATTGATAGCAAGAAGTTTGAACGAATTTTTGGTTTTATTCACTTTTCTACACAACCTGCTAAAGCCTTCATGTTATTAATACATTATTTCTTTTATTTACTGGTCTTACATTACTTGCAAGCAAAGAACTTTGTGTTGGCAAAATTTGGCCCAACAAGAATTAATTTGGCCCAACAAGAATTAATTTGCCTTCTTAATTTTAAATAAATAATTATTAAATATTTGGTTTTGTTATATAAATAAAATAATATTCAAATTTTTTTTTGGTAGTTTAATATTTTTTTTTGAGCAAATTGAGTCAAGAAGTTACCAAAGTAACCTCTCTTGAATTGGGCAGTTCATGAAAAATATTGAATGTTAGTGTTTTGTGTATATTCATGCGAGTATTAGTCGCCCAAAGGAAGATTAATATTTGGCCGAATTGCGCACACACTTGTAATGATAAACATGTGATAATTATAAGGATTTGTTTTGTCGATGATAAATCAATCCAAAGACTGGTTTGTTGTTGGACGTGCTTTATTGTCAATGTTTGATTATTACAACAAGATACCTCTAGCAGCTTAATATTATCGTCCAAAGACTTGATATTGATGGTGCATTGGGTGTCTTGAGATGGGTTAAACCATTATTTGAATATATATTTTATTTATAATTTTTTTTATAATGTGAGCATAATTAGTTTATTTCTTTTGTTCTAATCCAGCTACAATTGCTTCATGATCCGCCAATTTAAATTATGTTCCGATCCTCAAAAGTATGTTTCCTACTTTGGTCTGCTCGAAGTCAATTTAGCGTCAAGTACCTAGTAACACTTGGTGGTTAGACTCGGTGCAACTACTAACATCGTTGTTTCTATGAAGGGTTGCTTAAGCTATCTGAAGCCAATTGATTCTGAAAGATGGATATATGTTGGAGATGGCAAATCTGGTAGAGGTGGAAGCCATAGGGCATTTTAAATTGTTATTGAGTACTCGGTTTTTATTTGGATTTGAAAGACACTTTTGTTGTGCCGTCATTTAGACTGAATTTGGTTTCAGCTTCTTATCTCGGACAAATTAGGTTATTTGTGTTCATTTGGAAACAATAAGTTCAGCTTTGTCTTTTAATTCAGATATTATTGGAACTGGTTCACTTTTGCCTTATGATAATCTGTATTTACTTGATACTCGTGACCACCTATAATGAAACCCTTAATACGTAATCACTGGGTACTAAACGTAAAATTGATGATACTCACTCAGGAGCATTATGGCACAGGCGCTTAGGTCACATCTCTAAAAATAGAATTGAACGACTTGTGTCAACTGGAATCTTAGAGTCCATTGACTTCACAAACTTTGATGTTTGTATTGAATGCATTAAGGGCAAACAAACCAAAGCGAAAAGATTAGGTGCATATAGAGCTACAGACGTCTTAGAGTTGATACATACGGACATTTGTGGGCCATTTCCTACACCTTCGTGGAATGGTCAACAATACTTTATATCATTCATAGACGATTACTCACGATATGCATACTTGTTTCTTATACATGAAAAGTCACAATCTCTAGACGTGTTCAAAACATTTAAAGCTGAAGTTGAAAATCAACTCAATAAAAGAATTAAGTCTGTCAGATCTGATCGTGGTGGTGAGTACTATGGCAGATTTGACGGGTTAGGTGAACAACGTCCAGGACCTTTTGCCAGGTACCTAGAGGAGTGTGGAATTATCCCACAGTATACCATGCCGGGATCACCTAGCATGAATGGTGTAGCTGAAAGACGAAATCGAACTCTTAAAGATATGGTCAGGAGTATGATTTGTCATTCCACCTTAGCAGAGTCACTCTGGGGAGAGGCACTAAAGACAACAACTTATATTCTGAACAGAGTACCAACTAAAGCAGCGACCAAAACACCTTATGAGCTTTGGACTGGGCGACAACCTAGTCTGAAGCATTTCCATGTGTGGGGATGTCCAGCTGAGGCAAGGCCTTATAAGCCAAATGAAAAGAAATTGGACTCCCGAACAGTAAGTAGTTATTTTATTGGTTATGTCTGAAAGATCTAGGGGATATAAATTTTATGATCCCACCTTAAAGACAATTTTTGAGACTGGAACTGCTATGTTCTTTGAGGATATTGAGTTTGGGGGCAAGAATAAAATCAGGAACTTTGTCTTGGAGGAAGAATCCAGAATAATTCCGTAACCGATTCAAACAAGCTTACTTTTGATAAAGTAAGTTCGAACCTCCACAAGGCATTGTTAATGAACCCCTTACTCAAGATGATTTGGTTGTTCATGAAGAACAAACTCAAGATCCTCAAGAACCTGTGCATCATGAGCCAATATCCTTGCGGAGATCCACTAGAGAAAGAAGAAGTGTTATTTCGGATGATTACATGGTATTTCTTCGAGAACATGAGGAAAACAATGGTATGATGGAAGATGACCCAGCTTAACTTCCGTCAAGCCATGCAAGGTTCTAACTCGAAAAGTGGATCGAAGCAATGAAGGAGGAGTATAAGTCCATGCAAGACAATAAGGTTTGGGAACTTGTCCCATTACCGAAGGTATGAGACCCATTGGTTGCAAGTGGATATTTAAGACCAAACGGGATTCTAAAGGTAATGTGGAAAGGTATAAGGCTCGTCCTGGTAGCTAAGGGCTATACCCAAAAGGAAGGGATTGATTTTAAAGAGACTTTCTCTCCAGCTTCATCGAAAGACTCTTTTAGGACAATCATGGCTCTTGTAGCACATTATGATTTGGAGCTTCATCAAATGGATGTCAAGACTGCGTTTCTTAATGGCAACATTGATGAGACGATTTATATGGTGCAACCGTAAAATTTTGTGCAGGGAGATTCAAAGAGTATGGTTTGCAAACCGACAAAATCCATTTATGGACTAAAACAAGCATCTCGTCAATGGTACTATAAATTTCATCAAGTAATTCTCTCATTTGGCTTCGAGATGAATATTGTTGATGATTGTGTATATCACAAGTTTAAGGGGAGTAAGTATATTTTCCCGATCTTGTATGTTGATGACATTCTACTTGCCACTAATGATATAGGCATATTGCACGAAACCAATAAATTTTTATCAAAGAATTTCGAAATGAAAGATCTTGGTGATGCGTCTTTGTATTAGGAATTCGGATACACCGAGATCGATGTCTGGGTATTTTGGGATTATCACAAAGGAGCTATATCGAAACAATTCTTAAAAGGTTTGGCATGTATGAATGTAAATCCGGGATACTCCAGCTTGCTAAGGAAGACAAGTTTAGTCTCAATCGATGCCCAAAGGAAAATTTGGAAATTGAGGAAATGGAAAAGATTCCCTATGCATCACCGTAGGGAGTTTAATGTATGCCCAAGTATGTACGCGTCCGGACATAGCATACATAGTTGGGGTTCTAGGCAGATATTTAAGCAATCCAGGAATGGACCATTGGAAAGCAAGAAAAAGGGTCATGAGATATTTAAAGAGAACACAAGATTACATGCTCACATACAGGAGGTCGGACCGGCTGGAGATCGCTGGGTTTTCTCGACTCGGACTTTGCAGGATGTCAAGATAGTTTGAAATCCACTTCGAGTTACATTTTCATGTTAGCAGGTGGTGCGGTTTCTTGGCGCAAGTGTCAAGCAAACCCTTACAGCCTTCATCCACTGTGGCAGCGAGAATTTGTAGCATGCTATGAGGCATCAAATCATGGAATATGGCTGAGAAATTTTGTCACAGGGCTGCAAATTGTGAAAGGCATTGAAAGACCACTTAAGTTATATTGTGACAACAAATCAGCTGTATTGTATTCCAATAACAACAGAAGTTCGACTAAGTCAAAGCACATCGACATTAAGTTTTTAGTTGTTAAGGAAAGAGTACAAAGTGGACAGATTTCCATAGAACATTTAGGGACAAACTCCATGATAGCAGATCCTCTAACTAAAGGACTTCCGCCCAAGGTCTTTCATGAGCATGTTGCTCACATGGGTGTTTTACAGTTTGAGGAATTTGTGGTTTAGTGGGAGTTAGTCATTTTCATATATTTTATGTTCTATGTTTAATTTAATATATGTATACATTGTTTTTTTGGACATATTTGGTTATCTATAGATATGCGGTTTTTGTTCATTCATTACACTTTGTACATTAAGGTTTTTATATCGATCTCGATAAGTTAAAGTTTGGACCAGTTGAAAATAGACGTGTACAGATCACCTTCACGTAATTTTTCATGCTACACATTTCATGATGAATCCATGTCATTTGGTTATGTCAGGATGAGTAATCTTGTTGGTTTTAGTTGCGATGATGCAATGAAAAACTGGTTTGGTTCTATATCCTGATATGATTAATGGACAGGACTTTTGGAATATGCTAAAGGAATATAATGACAATTTTGAGCTCATAAAGTCTAACACATTTGTAAGGGTGTATAAACATATATATTTGTGACCAGTGGGAGATTGTTAGCAAATTTTGGGTCATGTATATATATGATACATATTTGAATGTGTTAGGGTCATTATTTATTAAGCCAAATAATAAAGTGATCTGAATAAATTAAAGTTTTGGCTAAAGGCATATGTCATGAAAATAATATTGTGTAGAGACCATAAAGTAATTTCTAATTTGATGAGGGGCCAAATTGGAAATACTAAAACTTAAGTAATTAACCTAATTTTGGTTATATAAAGGGTCATGGTCCCCTTCTGAGAGCACACAGAAAAATACATTTACAGTCCCGTTCTTTTCTTTCTATCCCCATCAAGAGAGAAAATCAATAGGGAAATACAGGTGCTCTTCAGGTGGAAGACCATAAGATCAAATCAAAGGTGCTCTACAAAGAATATCATCATTATGGATAATTCAGGTACGCTTTCGCATTTAGTTCATAACATGTTTACTGTATGGGATTATATATGTATGTTTGATCATAAGAAAGAAGATCATATTCAATTACAGTTTAAACTAACAGTTTTCACTTTTCAGCAGCATTACATTATAATTATGTTACTTATATCCAAAATGATGACAAATTGAAAAGTTCCAATTATGATAACAGCAAAATCCTACCTCCTCGGATAATTAGCAGTGCTCTCTGTAAAATAAACATTCCCCTCCCCATCAAGATCAACATCATTAGTAAATTTCAGTGGAATCCCTTCAGCCTCAGTTACAAGAGATGTTGCTAAGCCACCCTCGGGCCCCACCTTCAAGAGCCCAAAATATGCATCAGCAATGAACAAATCACCTGTTTTCTTGTCAAATCTGAGTCCCAAAGGCCTTCCACAGATATGCTCATTCTTCATATAACTAAATGGTGTTGCAGACGCTAGAGGATTACATATTTCTGACCTGTGTTTAAAAAAAAAATCATAACCAGTGATAAACTATAATGTAAACATACACAAGCCAGATGAGGGATTGTTTGGAGAGTTATAAAAGACGAAAATTATTGGTCGTGGGTCATGATTGTGTCCCAATCTTACAAAGCAAATAATAACTTTATAGGATCATTCTAAACCGAGCCGAATAAGAACTGAAATAGAAATCAATAAATACAGTCGAACAAATGTTTCTATTGGGCATCAAATTCAAATAATTATAAAAGTATTGAATTAAATTCAATGTCTTGCCTTGTCCTGTATCATATCAGAAATATTTTACGAATAAAATCTTTTTCTTTTTTTCCATTTTTATGTAATAATTTTAATATTCGGATTAATGTTGATTAAAATTAAACTTAGTAAAATTGACAAAAAAATCCAACAATTACCTACTTGACAAACTTTGCTAAAAAACGTTGTTTATACAAGTTTTCAAGTAATTAATAATTAATTTATATACATTTATTTTTACGTGTTAAAATTAATTAATTTATAATAATAATAATAATAATAATAATAATAAATTTCAGTTTTCTAATATATTTATATGGTATTCATTTTTCCAATAAATTTAAATAAATAATAATAATAATAGTAATAAAATACAGAATTTAAATAATAATTTATTTTTAACAATTTTATATTTTTTAACAATAATAAATTTAAGTTAATAATAATAATAAATTTCAGTTTTCTAATTTATTTATAATGTTACTAGCAATTATAAAATAAATTTTTTTCATAACTAAATTTATCAACAATAATACTAAATAAATCTAAATTAATAATAATTGTCAATTAAAAAAATTCAATTAGTAATAAAAAATTTACTATTTTATTAATTGTAATATATAATTTAAATTTGTTTTTATAATTTAATTTATTCAATAAAAAAATTAATACTAATATTATATAATTTATTAATTTCTTATGTTCATAAATTATAATTAATAATAATAATTTTTAACTTTTATTTAAATTGTTAATCATTTAATATAGAAAAATAATTTTATTATGAAATTTATTTTACCTTAACATTTAAAATCAACATTTTCAATCTAATATTAAAAAAAAATTGTTTCTCCTAATCTTTTTTAAGATAAAAAAAAAAAAAACAAAATCCCGTCCAGTAGCCAAATTTTGACGGGTGTCTGATCATTATCTACAAACTTAACATTGATAGACACGGTTAGAAATTAATGTAAAATTTATATATATTTATGTACTTCATATTCTTTAAAATATTTCAAATATTCGGTTTTTATTGATGAATTAGTGAGAAAATTAACTTCATATGATTTTTTAGTAAATTTTCTCTTCAGGTCCATCAATCATGTCACAAGCAGAGTATGATGGAATATGAAACTAGGGGTGGAAAAATCAGAGACCAGGCAAAAAAGGCCTTGCATTGATAGTTCTGTAAGCATCTTCAAGCAAAGAATCAACTTACAGCCATCAAATTAACCCATTAATCAATGCATGCAGCTATCATGGATTAGAAATAGGCTCTTTATAACCTACTTTTCATCCTTAAAAAGCTGGTTTTCAAAGTGACTAAGGGTCATATTTAGGTGCATGGTCACCCCCAAAATGTAATAACATTTTTAATGATATCGCAGAAAGTTGTGCCCAATGGAAACCTGACCAACCATTTTTTTAAATCTTTCCAACGACTCCAACCTTAACATGGTCTAACCTTGTAAGATTCAAGTTGTTCCTAAACGCATATGTCACTTTAAAAAGCCAACAATATTATAATAATACACAGTTTGGAAAAGGAAGCTGGACATTCTTAATTCTTAATTTATTTATTTTTTCATGCATTTCAAACACCATCATCTAATTGGACTAAAAAATCCCACAGAATTGTGTCAAACCACCGTCTATTTCATTACTCTTTTGAACGTTTTATGGAACTTGAAGAACTTCACTGGTTAAAAAATAGTATTAAGAAACCATAATTTGTAGCGACAAAACTACAATGCAGAATTAAGATTTTTAGAAACCTAATTAAGAAGAACAGTAAAGTAATAAAGTGAGAGAGTTGAACCTATTGGGAGAGGTATAAGCAAAGTCAACCCAAGAGTGACCGTTCCAGAAGATGACTCTTCCATCAGCGACACCAGTGTAAGGACCACGACCAAGAGGATCGAAGGCAATGCTCTCTGGTCCCTGCACCTCGTTCAAAAACTTAATCTCCGACTTCTGCAACAGATTATGATTGTCTGTGTCGGTGGGAACCTCGGACCACGGGGGCATGTCCACTCTCTTGGCCTGGAAGTCCGGGAAATGGGCTATTGGGCTGTGGTGGAACGGGTCCAGCCCACAGTACAGCGCAAACAAGAGGAACAGAATCGCAAGGCCTCGCGCCAGAGTCATGGCTAAACACTGACGAATAACGCTTCCAAGGAAGAAAGGTTTTTGTGCGAGTGAACGTGGAAAACTATGGTTCAACGAAACTAACTAACAATAGAAATAATTAACAACGTGGGGTAGCCGTACGTTTTGTTTGGTTTGGTTTGACAGAGGAAATTGGGCTGGGTAGGTGTACGCATTTGCCTCGTGAAAAAAACCACCACCTAATTTACATTTCCTAGTGATATTAAATTTATTTGTAATTATAGTCATTTTTAAAAATTATTGTAAAATAACCAATGTATGAAAAGAAAATATTCATATTTGAAATTTTAATTTTTAAAACTATAATTTTTTTATTTTGTAGCATTCATAAAAATATACAATTTATATAATTTGTTCTTTATGAACTAAAATAATTATGAGTAATTTAAAAAAATATTTAATACAATAAAAAATAAATATAGTATTATGAAAAGAGGTAAAAAATTAAATAAAACTATATGTTTATAATTAGGGTGATATATATGAGGATTAGATCATTAGTTCTTTTTATTGTTATTTAACTGATTTTATTTATAATGTCTTATTTGAGTAATGTAAAGGGTATGACTTAAGTATTTTTAGGTAGAATTATATTTTTATTAATGATTTTTTTTTTTCAGAAAGTGAACTATTTACTTCCTAGGAGCAAATTTGACGGAGTAGGATTTGCTTGGACTTTAGATTTGTAGAATATGACTTGTATAGTGTTGACTGCATCGGAGAAAATATTTTTGGGCCCATTGGGCCAACAATCAGGCAAAATGTGATGATTGTAAATTGATAGAATTAGAAAAAAGAAAAAAAAAACATTGAAAAGGAAAAAGAAAAGAAAAAACAGACATCTTGATTTTATTTGACTAATTTGATTTCGACTTATATGGGTAAGTGGCTGAAGAGAGAGTATCATGAAATGTTTTTAATTAAAATATATTATAATTAAAATTGATAATAAATAAATATATTTAGTGATAAATAATTTTCAACATTATAATTTTAATAGAATATTTAATGTCTGAAATATATATTTGTTATTACCAAAAGGACGTTCGGTTTTTCTTGAATGAGCTTAGCATGTATAGATAGAATGGGATACATATTTATAAAAGATTATATGATACTTAAGAGGATACGTGAATAAGAATAAAAAAAAATAGAATATAAATAAATGAATGAGATATTAAAACTGTTAATATAGAAATAAGATATTTTAACTACTTAAAAAGTATAAAATATTTTATTTTTATTTGTTAACAAGGATTTCAGGTGATTTTGATGAGAATTTAGGTAATTTTCGATAATTAAGATATTCGAGTTGTTTATTGTAAATTAGGTACATAAGTTCTCCAAATTGGGAGTCCTTTGGTGTATGCAAGTACGTTACTCAGGACAGACAAGTTTAGAATCTCGTCGTTTTGCCTATTTCTCATGAACTTCACGACGAGTTATTTTTTATTTTTTCGAATCTCTCCATTTATCAGTGTCTTAATTAAGGGAAAAGTTGTAATCATTAGGCTTTTGCTTGAACTACGAAATTTTTTTAGTTTTTATATTTTATATAGTTTGTTTAGAGCATATGTAAAGAAAATTTGTAACAAAAGTTGCTTAGGAATAAAATTGAATATTTTATTATGTGTTTCATAGTTGAGTTGCTTAAAACTTGGTTAGAGTTGCTTATGCAAACAACTTTCTTCTAATTTTAAGCAACTTTTTTCACTTTCAAACAACTCACATGTGAGACTCACAATAAAATATTTACTTTTATTCCTAAACAACTCTTGATAACAACTCCCTTTAGATATGCTTTTAACTTCTTCATGTCTCACATTCTGATTTCATTCTATGAGAAATTCCCTCGCTCTTCTCAAATTTATCTTGCCTTTGTCTTCATCGCCTACAATCTTTTTAGGAATTATAATGTTCTTTCTTCTTTTAAGTAATGTCTGCATCAACATCTTCTTCGATGATTTCTTCTGATCGTAGGCAGTGATCGGATCTTTTTGGGAACTAAGGAGGGTCGTGGCCCCCAAAAATTTTGTAACTCTCATGTAATTTATAATTTTGGCCCCCAAACTTTAATATATTTACTTGTATATTTATAATTTTATCCTCTTAGCCTCTCCTCGCTTTTATAACTCTCATATAATTTATGATTTTGCCCCCAAACTTAATGATGATTTTATATATTTACTTATGCATTTATAATTTTATTTTCTCACCCTTTCATCTTCTTTCACCCTTTATATTTATGTATTGTTTTTAATAATATATTATTTGGTTCCCTCATAATCAATGGTCAAGATCCGTTATTGATTGTAGGTGTCATCTTACCTCTCATGAGGTGCATTCGATTGGTAGTGCTTCCACCACTAATTCTGATGGTTCCTTAGCTATCTCTACTTCGTTAGATAAGGTCCTCATTACTGCTCCAATGGCTAAAGAATACCAAAGTAGAGTTTCAAAAAAGGGGGAGTTTAAAGGGAACGAGAGGTGTCCTTAAACTTAGATAAAAGGATACATTCTCACCTATTTCTGACCTTAGTTTTTTCGGGTGCTGAACAAGGTGCATCATTACGCCTCTAAATGCACCTTTGCTTTATCTAAAAAGGAATTTTCTAAGTCCTTTGACATAAATAAACTTGCTTATACACATCAATCTTTTGTTCTTCTCATGATAGGGTATACATGTCGTCTCACATTAATGAAGAGGATTTTATGTTTGTATATGAATATTTATTTAAAAAGTTAGAGATTCTACTTTCATTCACCAACTTCAAGTATGATATGTTGATCATTCTTCGAGTGGCTTTGAGTTAATTACATCCCAACAATTGAACTTTTGTAAAACCATTTCATATATTTGTTTCTTTCTTTGTATAAAAGTGTTTGCGAACGTCTTTATGTACTTCTATCAATTAAAATATGGCTCAGAGGTCAACTAGGTTTTCCTAAACGGGTCTTAGCATGATGAGTTATTTTTGTGTACACCCAATCTTTCAAAAACTTCAAGACTCGTTTCTTTCGGGTAAAGATGGAAAAACGGATTAAGCTTGCAGCTCGCCTAAAAAATGGCGGGGTGGATTAATGGTTTTAGCCCGTCCCGCATAGCCCCACTAACTTAACGAGTTAAGGGTGGAATGAGGCGGGATCGGACTAACCAACTTTTAAAAAAATTTATATATTAAAATTAAAATAAAAAAGTTATAATTAAAAATATTTTTTTGTTAGGTTACTGAAATATATAAATATATTATAATATTATAATTTGAATTATAAAAATTAATTAATTAAATTAAAATTATTGATTCTAATTAGTTATTTTGACATATAAATATTTTTTAATTTATCTCGAAAATATTAATTAATAAATAAAAACTTAAGAATTTTTCATATAATTAAAAATATATTTTTAAAAATATATATATAAAAAAATTATTAGTAATTGAAGTCTATAGCTCATCCCGACTATGTCAGTCAGCCAATCTCTGTTTTGGCAGGCTAGAGGTGGACAAATTGATCTATTTTGTCACTCCTACTTTTAGGTTAAATATAACTCAGATCACCAATTGAAGTACCTATTCCATTGCTTGAATAAATCTTTGTGATTTTCGCTTTGTTGGGTTACTCTTGTAAAGTTCAAATTTCGAGCTGACCATTTATTTTCTAGTGATGAAAAGTTGATCATTTCTACTCTTATCGACTTGCCTCATTCGATTAGTTGTAAGAATTTATTCTCCATCCCATGAGGACCAAGTAACACGCTTTATTAATAAGAACTAGTTTAGTTGAGTGATTCTTTAGTTAACATATACTCATTTTTATTCACTAGTACAAAATTGAGTTTTTGTGTATGTTATTTTGGCCTTTTTACGTCAAAAAAAGTCTAACATTAATATGGGAGACGTAAATTTATGTCGGACCTAGGGGTAACCAACGTAAATTTACATCAGATCCCAAGTGATAACCGACATGAATATACGTCGGACCTCATAGGTAATCAACGTAAATTTACATTGAACCTTGGGGGTAATCGACGTAAATTTTGTCTTTGTTTTCTTGTCATCCATATATCATATTTCAATAGACAATAATTCAAACATACAATATAATACAAAAACAAAAACTAATACAAAAACTAAGTTACGTAAATGTTAAAGTATATAATACAGTACAAATTAGAAATATTGAATGAAAAACCTTATTATTTTGTAATATCATGTCGTGATAGTGGAGATGAATGAATCTTGAAATACCTGAAACATTAATTTGACTACAAATTAACATGCAATACACACAAAAGTAAATGAACTTAACAAATATTGAAAGCAATTATCTCTGGTTATACTCGTATAAATTTTTGTGTATTACATGTGCTTATGAGCATATTTTGGAAAAGCTGTTAGGACAAATCCCCTTTGGGCATTTGTCTTCTCTTCTTCACATTTTTCTCTTCGTTTTGATATGTTATGCATCCAAATTCGACATCCGAATAAAAAATTATCTTGCTTCGAACATTTTCCATTTTTTTTCATCATAAAACCGTAATACACTACAACAATAACAACAACCTAAACCCCCAATATACAATTTACAACAACAATAACAACATAAAAGTAGAATTCAAACGCATAGAACACAAACTACAATAGTTCAATATCAATAATAATTCAGTAGAAACATTCAATTTCAACATAAAAGAAGAGACTATACATATAAAATACTAACCTCAAATATACAAAAATGTTGTAAAACTTGAATTCAATAGGAGAGATATGTCAACTGTCACAAATAGAATATAATAAAAATATTTTTCTCCCTCACTATGGTTGAAATGTATCTTGAGAAGAGCTAATCATTGTTGTTTTCGTCATAATTTAAAAAAATCCTTGCTACTAATCTCTTTGTCCAAAGGTGATGGGAAGTTTTTCGATTATAAGAAGGTTTGTGCTAAACTTAACATTGTTTTTTTTTTTTTATGTAGC